AAAATTTTGTCGTTAAAACGATACACTGTTATATGGTGACAGTTTTCTATAGGCATTTGTTCAAATTTTTTCCAATTTCTTTTTCCATTGTTCTTTGTTATCGTGCATTTCGTAGATAAATATGACTTTTGCGCGGTAACTAGTTAGCGAGTCTGGCTGCATCTGAGAATTTCACTATATTAGTCAGCAAGATCTCCAACCACTGTAATATAACTACTCATTATTTAATAATTCTAAAGTGTAAATAAAGTAAATGCAACCAAACGATTCATAAAAACTCTCCACAGGAAGGTAAGACAGGTTTGTTCATGGCAGGTCTGGTCTTCATAGCTGTTGGCACTGGAGGCATCAAAGCAAATGTTGGGCCTTTTGGAGCCGAGCAAGTGGGATCTCTGGGCAAGGAAGCTGTCCAATCCTTCTTTAACTGGTAAGCATCGTTGGATTGCGAGACCCTCTTCAATAAAATTTTCAATCCTAAAAAAAAAAGGTATAAAGATCGAAAAATCTACACAGCGTAAAAAATTAAAAACGCATGCAAATTTTTCAACGGGCAAACAGGTCGCCAATTGGCTCGCCGGTAGACAAATTCTTTGCCGGTCGGGACAGTATTTGGATCTGTCTCTGAACATACGAAACCGAATGCAAAGAAGAAGAAGAAGAAGAAGAAGAAGAAGAAGAAGAAGAAGAAAAAAGAAGAAGAAGAAGAAGAAGAAGAAGAAGAAGAAGAAGAAGAAGAAGAAGAACGTGTAGCTATTGCTGTATCGCGTTTTCTAATACAAAAAAATTTTCCCTAAAAAAAAAAAAAATTTTTGCAAAACCAAATTTTTTTTTAAAGAATCAAATGGTTAGTTTTGATTTTTATTCAACAGGTAAAAAGGGGCAAATTGCTCGATTTCAAAGAAAATGTCGACCCTAACTAGGGTGGCCGGCCCGATTTAAAACCCCGTGTTAGAAAAGCCCCTTGTTTAGAGGATTTTTCCAGTTTGATCTCGATCCTGTCATGAGATTAACTTCAGCATTGTACAAGGCAGTCAAGGGGCAGTAAAGGGCCCTTTTCCACACCTGCAGGGGTATTAGGCAGTTATGGCAAGACGTAAATGTTATGAACCAGTTGGCACTTGGTAGGTAATGCAATCAACATCACACTGGCCGCCCTTACTTCTAAGGACTTTACTTTGGTACCATTAAGGGCTAGGTCGACTGGGAGTAGTATAAATAGTAAATATTTAACTGAATTTTGCAACTTATCGCTCACTCAACAGGTTTTACTGGGTAGTCAACGTTGGAGCCTTCATTGCATACGCCGGGGTTTCCTACATTCAACAGGAAGTCAGCTTTGCCTGGGGTTTCTTCGTGCCGCTCTGCAGCATGGTTGTAGCTGTCAGTATATTCATCGCTGTCAGGCCTCAGTACGCTAGAACTCATCCAAAAGGTAACCAGTTCTTGTTTCTTTGTATAGGCTTTAGGTATTAGACATTAGGATTAAGGCAGCCGTTTGCCTAGTGCTCTGTGGGTGTGGGGTTCATTTCACGCGCGATTTTTAAGAAGGTCGGTGGCAACTGTCCTAAGAGCTACAAAGTTGGAGTTTTGTGTAACGTACTCGGACTTTGGCATAGTACGTCATTGAAATGCTGTTTAGTAAATCATCAGTACTTCTATCGCTGTCAGGCCTCAGTAAGATAGAATTCATCCAAAAAAGGTAAGCATACTTACTTCTTTGTTTTGGATACAGAAGTGTATTACTACAAGCGACTGCGGTGGTGCGCTAGGACCTGAACTCAAACTTATCATGACCTGTTTATACCTCGCAGTGGTCATCCAAGAACAAAGTTCACTACTGAAAACCTTGCCAGAGTATACAGCATCGACTTTTCCTTCCTTCAGAGAGGCGAGCAAGCAGAGGTTTTCACACACATAGACCAGAGGAATCAAAGGTCTTCATACACATACACCAGAGGAATCAAAGGTCTTCATACACATAAACCAGATCTGTTAACAAAACGCTCAGGTCTTGGAACTCGACTAAAGTCCAGTGATGTTTAAACATCCTGGACTTTCCGCCGGCGTTCATTGCTGGCGAAGGCTGTAGAAGACGAACTTTGTACGGGTATTAAATATATGTCAGTGTAAGTATATTTCAGTAAATGGCCCTTTTCCTAACATAGAGGAGCACATATGATACAGTGCTATCTTCCTCTTCTTAGCATTCAATCAATCAGCATGTCCTTTGCGGAATGTCGCTTACCTCGCAGCACTCTTGAAAGTCTGTCTTTCTCTAGCCAGTTCTTCAGCCCTGTATGCTTTTATTACCAGCGCATCTTTTATGTCCTGTATCCATTCTCGAGGGGGGTCGGTCTCTGTCTCGCTGTCCGGAAACTGTGGCCTTCATCAATGTTCTTATCAAACCATCATGGCTCTTGACATGTCTAAAGTAGCTCATCTTTTGGGAGAAGATTGCAATAAGTGGGGTTTTATTCTCTCGTTGTCTGGGTGGTGTTCATGTGTGTGTAGTGGATGTTCTTCTCCCACACTCGACGTTACATAACTGGTACAAGCCGACACCAAGCTAGTCATACGAGCATCGATTTATTGACATGTTATAACTTAAAGCGATGTCCACTCGTTGTCCTAATACACAGCTCTCGCACACCAATTCACGCAGCCTTCAACGAGCAGGTTCTTCATGCATTCACTGACAAGAGTCGGCTCCAATAAATCAGGTTCAGTTTCTTGCCATTATACAGACTGGCTTGGTCGATCTTGGCTTCACACTATGTCATCAGGGTCTCCTTTCGCAACAAACAGTCTTACGTTGACATTCTTACACTCAGTCGCACATCCTCTCTCTCCAACAGGTCGACACAAACTAAACTTGATCAGAATCAAGTCTGACATATACCACGGGTTAGTTTCACGTGGCAACACGTGGTGGTCCTTTACTTTCACGTGGCGACCTTTGGTAGCGTCGTCGTGATACCCGTGATAACTAGTGGTCATTACCTATCTCAAGATCCTCGTTTGATCCGAGTATCTGGAATATCTTGGTGTTTTAGGTTAGCTTTGGCTTCCCCACCCACCCCCCCCCCCCCCCAACCTTCCTAATCTGGGTGAAAATATCCCCCATTACAAGGATGCTGTTTTTGAGCCAGTTCTCCTTGATGTTCAGTGCTTGCTGGAGGGCGACTTTTTTTTATCTTCTTCTCCATGGTCCACGGTATTCTAAGAATTTTTTAGTAGCATGTCAGTTCAAAAGGTCTGATTTGCTTTTTTTTCAAAAAGTGAGGGTCCATCACTCATATCCATTACTTGCCCTTTAAAAGAGGCATGGTCTTAAAATGTTCACTTTAACTTGCTTGCAGGTGTTTTGCCATAGGTTCTTCTTCGCGTTCACCGGTTGTCAACTCCGGCAGAAAGTTTTGGTTGTTCATCGACTGCTGGACTTTGGTGTCGATCCAGTACTTGAGTTTACGTGCACATTCGTTTCACTAACTGATTTGTTTGTGTGCAGACTGTTGGTTCCTTGCTTTTTAGGCAAATGCTCTCCGACTATGAAAAAAAGCATCCCCAATTGTTGACACGTATGACTAACATTTTAGGGGAGGAATGGAAAAACATGACTCTGAAGGCACAATGCGATATATCCTGCTGAACACATAATCGCTGAAATCGGCCAACAATCATGAATTTCTTTTGTCAACATCACACAGGTAGATTTTTTTTTTTTTTAATGACACTCTGTACCCATTTCAAATGAATCCACCTGGAAAACTTTTGTAGAACTGTTGATGCGCTTGCTTAATATTTACTTTTCTACTTCGAAATTTCTTCACCTGTTTGAGGATTCTCTTCTTCAGACAAACGGAAAGCTTGCGTTGATAATGTCTAACAAATAAACATAATATAGCACATAATATTGCATTATGTCGCACCCATAACTGCCCACTGCGTAGCAATTGTGTCACTTACATTTCATGTATTGCTTGCTATGCTCAGTATGTGTGTGCATGTCGGTGTAATGTAAACCTTACACTGACATACGAATTATTTCAGGAAGTGTTCTGATTTCGGCTTGGAAAATATGTGTACAAGGAACGTGTAAGGTAGGAAAATGATGTTTACGCGTGTTTATATTTGCGTATATGTGTACCGCGTATTTGTGTTTGAAGAAAACGTGTGAAAGTTGATTTTATTTTATTTTGGCTGGAAAGGCTATAAATGTTATGCGAGTCAGTGGGCTTTGCGCGGAATTAAAATATTGTAGATGAACAATACATTGAAAGGAATTAAATGCATAATGGCCGTCTTTATTCTTTTTTCCCTATATACATTATCAATTTTTATTTAACTTTTCTCGAAGGCTCCAAAGAAGTCTAAAGTCCCCGCTGAAATGCAGGTGCCAATACTTACCAGAGCCAAGAAAAGCTACGGTGGAGACTACGAGGACTATATTGTCGACGGAGTTGTCAGTGTCATCAAGGTGACGCCCTTCTGTCTGCTAGTCGTAATGTT